TAAAATTGTGGCTATGCGTACCTTCTAGATCTTCATCGAAGATTTGGTCGTCATTAACCATCTCATTGAATGAAACCCCTTGCCTTAGTATGTTAGAATGCCATCCAGGCTCACCATTTGGAAAGAATAAAGGATAACAAATGGGTCATAACATCCCCAATAAGATTGAATTGTTTTTGGTTTGTCGGACCTTCCATATACTATAATACTTCTTTTATATGCGGTTATGTTGTCATTGCCTTCAATCCAAATACCAGCAACCTGTGAAATTATACAATAGAAAAAATATGATTAAAACTGGTACGTAATTTGCATAGTTATATTTAATACATGAAACATCTTTTTTCTCAAAAACATATGTACATAATTAATTTCAAACCTCGGATGTGGTTGGCCGGTTGTACACCCTTTGGTCTAGTTCTACTGATGCATTTAAAGTGACTCTGTAATTGTCGAGCGGTCCTAGATCAGCAAGGCTACGAAATATTGCAACGTATGGGTTTGTAGCAAGAACGCGAGTCAAAATTTCAACAATTGGTTTAGCAAGATTCTTCCATTCGAGTCTATTTGACATCTCAGCTTCAACATCGTAAAAATACAATTGTAAGAACTTAGGTTCATCCTTTTTCCTTGGAACTAACTGATCGATTCTATGGTATATCCCTCCATTCACACAAAAAGTGTATACCCCAGATGTCATATTGGCCATCGATTCATCCACTTCTACGCCCATTGATGCAAATGAATAGTTGGTGTTGTATGCACGTATATTCTTTCTAAACAATTTGCCTAATTTTGTTTCTGAGGTGAAAAGATTGTGTAATTCGTCAGGAATAGATGAGTCTGCCAACTTTGTCTTTCCACTCATGCAACAAAAGCCAGCAGATTCAAATTGTAGTCGTTTTGCCCCACAATAACTACATATATCATTGAACTTCACCACACGATGTTTTTTACGGATACCGGCGAAAACAAAACTATATGGATCATCCGAGATGCTACCATTTTGTACTGATGGAGTGACATTGCCATGGATACAACCTTGTGGATCTGTAGACATTTTATTCATTAGTTAAATGTAATATAAATAAAATTAAAATAATTACACATAATTATTAGCCATAATATGTATTTTTTCGGTAAAAATCAAATACTGACCTTTGATATTGATGTTAAATTTGAGTTATCAATATCATCGCGTGGAGGTAGTATTACGTCAGGCTGACTTTGAATACCTACGTATAAACAAAAATTTCTCATTAAGAATGTAAATTATGAAAGATTATGGTTAAATGTAATGTTGTACTACTTAGATTGTAATATGATAACTTCAGACATAGTTACCTGGTTTTGTTATGGTTGGTTCCGTCTGACGTTGATAAGGGTTTCTATTATAAATCAACTTTTTTTGACCAAAATCCATTACACATGTAGGAGATGCATTGGTAATATCCACCAGATTCCTATTTACTGTTGGCACATTTGACAAAAATGTTGCGTTTTGACTATTTCCTTCCCCATTAGCTATTCGTCTCATTTTGTTTTTCTCCTTTCGTCGTTCGTAACATGCCTTATTATATGCTTTTCGTTTTTCTGCAACATTTTTTTAAATGAAAAATGTATAACGATGATATACTAATAATGATTGTAAATATGTGATATACCTTTTGTATTTTCTGCATCAATTTGGATAACATTATTATGTTTATTTTCTTTACCGTCAAACCTCATTGCAAACTGTAAAACACACAAAAAAATGTATACTTTATTTTATACATAACAAATCAAAAAGTATGATTATTCAAATACGAAATTTATTACCATTTGTTTTTGTTATAATAGTTTAGATCAAAACCAGATTTTATTTATGTGTTTCTGGTAATGTGAATGGTCTATAAGGAGATGATGCTTGAGTTGCCGACATATATTGGTTTGATGATACTTCTTTTCTTAGGTGAAGCTAATTACTTTGAAACACGTTGCATCTAACTAAAAAAATACTATAAATAGTAGACTTTTTCATCATATAGTACTTGAATAGAGATAATTTAAAGTTAAATACACATACCTGTTTGATTTTGATGAATCCGATAGAGCAGATGGTTTTTGTGAAGCCGATAGAATATATGTAGTTTATGCATGTACAAAGGAACACAAAGTGAGTGTGAATGGTGTATAATCGAGAAAGTAAAAATCGTAAATAGTAAACATACGCAGTAGCAGACTGTAGAACCGATGAAGCCTTCTTATATGTTAAATTATAATTATAGAATATGTTTGCAATTGGCGCCTATGGTTCATCTACTACGCAAATATCTCTCTCTCTCTCTCTCTCTATATATATATATATATATATATATATATATATATATATATATATATATATATATATATATATATATATATATATATATAGGTTAAAAGTTTGTTATGAAAGGATTACATATAGTTCATACTTATGTGTATATTTATAATAAAATTTGAAAATTCGTAATCCATTTTGATTTACTTTTATCTTATTAGTTGAAAAGTATTCAAAATTATACCGGGAAACAAAATAAGATTTTTTGTTTTGAATTGGTTTTACATGTAATTCAATTTTAATTATTATTTTTGTAGATTCTTAAAAAAAAAAATAGGAATTGCATGAAAAAACGTATAAAATTCTCTTACTTTTTCCTTGTTTTTTAATACAGGTCTAATAATTTAATCAGAGTTGGAAGTGGATACAGTTTGATGGACGAAAACCAGTTATCACTGAAAAACGATGAAGTAGCATATAGCTTTAATTATGGGTATGAATTTTTTATTTTTATTTTAGTAACCTATTTGGTTTTTTAGCATTTATTTATTTTTTTAAAATTTTAGTATGAATATAGGTTAATCCAGTTGGAAGTGGATGCAGTTTCATGGGGATAAACACTTATTACTGAAAAACGATGAGGTAGTTGATCGAGAAAGGATAGAGGTGAATATCGATGGATGTGGATTCGCATATGAAATCAATTGTGTTCGCATCTATGAAATCAGTTCGCATATGACATCAATTGAGTTCGCATTTGGTTTTGTGGGTCAAAACAGTTCGCATAAGAAGTTCACGATTTGTTGTTTGAGGTTAATTGATTTTGATTTCGCAAGCTTGGAGTCGGAGATCTGGATTGTGTTCGCATCTATAGAATGCGAGGAGAATTTAATGGTGATATTCAGTTCGCATTTGGTGACACAAGTACGTGGTTGATGATTTTTGGTTGGTTCGCATTTGAAATCAGTTGGTTTCGCATTTGGGTTCGTATCTGGGTTTCTCAAACAACTGAAATGCGAATATGAGACAACTGATTAATTTCTCAGTTAATGCGAATGAACTCAAAGACGGATGGATGCAAGATGCGAAGAATTTGAATGAAAATGCGAAGTTTTTAATGTATAAATGCAAATTGGGGAAGAAAGCTAAGAGTTTCGCATTTGGCCCCTGATCTTTTCAAGAAATAATATAAGTGGTCCAACTTCGCAAAATGGGGTCATAAAAAGACAAAAGTGCAGAATTTTCATTTCGCATCCCTGTAGTCTTCGCAAAATGGAAAATTTTACCCAGTTCCACCTTATAAACCCTGCTATAAATCCCACTGCCATGAAGTATTTCCCTTATATATATATATATATATAGTAAGTCAAAAAGAAAATAAAAACACTACATTCACGAATGAAAAGTTAACAAATTAACAAAACCAATAATAAAACTTAAAACTGATAAAAGATATAATGTGGTAAAACCATATGTGTTAAAAGTTCCACAACTGAATTGAAAACACGGGAATTAAAAAAGTTTTCAAGAAAATCTTTTTCTAATACTCTCATCAATATCTAGCTCTAATCCTATCAGCTTCATACATTTGTGGTTCAACATCAAAGTCGGTTAAAACAGTAGAAACCAATAAATTACCTGCAAAAACATGAAACATGTGGCATAAAATTTAATAATATGTATTTACAATTTGGAATATGTTGATATTAATATAAATTATATACTGATCATATTTTTTAACTGACCCAAATTGTTGTGGACCAGCTTCATGCAAGAAACATAGAGTATGGATTTGTTGTATGTTGCAACAATAACCTTAATCATAAGGTTTGCTGGTACGTTATACAACAATAACTTTGTTACGTTCCCCTATTAAAAGGTAATGCTGTTTAAACTCTTATAATGAATGATAATAAATTTAATAAAAAACTATGTTGTTTTAAGTGTTTTTTGAATACATATATACTTACGTCTCATCTTGGAGAATTAACTCAAATGATCGCAGCTGTCTGATTCGATTTCCCCATACTATTCTTCCAACCACATCTAAAAAACATATTTTCTTGTTAAATTTATAGTAGATGATATAAAAATGATTAAAAAAAAGATATAAATATACCAACAAGCCTTCTTTTATTTGTATGATCTTGTGCAACAGTTGTGACAGTAGACACAATTGGATAAAGTGGATATCCACTGGCAAAATCGCTTGCTAACCGAGTAAAAGTTGTGGCATGGTTTATCATTATCGCCTTATCACTGGTGCAGATTTTGTACTGTTGGTACATTGGATTGTCCAAATGGTATTCATCAACTTGGAAATGTTGCACAGAGAATACATTTCCTTTCAGATTCATGTTTCGATATCCGGGCACTAAATGGCGAGGTATGATTGCTAATATTTTTTCTCTCTGGTGTAAATAACAAAATGGTAATGGTATTATTTACAAAATTAAACTTTTAATAGAAGTTGAATATTTTAATTGGAAAAAAACCTTACCTGGCGATCTATCATCCACAAGAGCATCCTGTTGTTTTCCATGTCCTCCCAAACATACAATACTCTAACACTTGTAATGTTCCACCATTCATATATTTGCCCCAAAGCAGAAAATTCATTAACAGTAGTATGATAAATATCCATTTCAACTGAAAAACACTTCAGTTAATAATTGCTATACTTGATGGTTTTTCTAATACATATTGCTTGTACTATGAAATAAAGTAAAAGTTCAATACCTGTTTGATTCTGATATAGCATATAGAACAGATGGTTTTATGAAATCAATGGAACAAATGGTTTGATGGTAAAGTATGGAAGCAAGATTCGTAATCTTAAATATGTATATATGTACAGATTACAAAACATGTTTGTTATTAATGGATGAGATAGATTTAATGTATATCATCAGTTTTTTTTTTTAAATGACAATTTAAAAAATCCTAATCAGTTTGGATAGAATTTGAAGTGCTTATCTGATAAGCACTATGATAATTTCGAAGTTAGTGTTATCTTTTTCTAATTAATAATGATATAAACTGTAAAGATAATTTCGAAATTAATATGTTGACTAACATTGATCCTTAAAATTTGGGATATGAATGGTTTTGAGCGGGAAAATATTGACACCTGGGTAACCCTCTACAATAAATACCTATGTTTGCTTCTCTGAAATTCGATAATGACTTGATTCTTCCACCTGGGAAGAAGGTATGTTCACATATTTTTTGTTTTCTCTTTTGATTTAATTGTTACGTTGTAACTAATACTACTTTTGACATAGAAAAACGGCCATAATGTCGAACTCAAGTAGCATTGTAAATAAGCAGGAATGTGATCAAATCATCCTTCAACTTTGTATGCATGAGAAACATGAGAAAGAAAAGAAAAGGGAATGGGCATTGCTAAATTGGAATTGGGATGAGGTTATTGATATTCTAAGTTCTGAAGATGAAAAGCTGGATGATGAAGCTGTGGAAAAGTCTGACACATTAGATTCAACAAAACCAAAAACTTTGTCACCACCACTGAAGAGACCCCGTGTCAAAGTTCAAAGCCGAAACAGATGTTATAGGCTTCGTGATGAAGAAGATGGTGAATTTCCTGTTGATGTCGGGTAAGATCATTTGTACTTTGTTTTACAAACGATCATGAAAAACTGTTTTTTTTTATATATTTCAAGGATCAAGAAACTTATGAATGCCTTAAATTTTATTTTTTTGTCAGGAGTGGTTTGATTACTGTTGCAGCTGAAAACCAGCCATCTCAGGATGATGAAGATGCAGTTGTTAACACCTAAGTTTTTTTAGTAGATTTATTTGATGTTGGAATTTTTATGGTTGTCTTTTTTTTGGATTGTTTCAAATAAGTAACATGTTTTTATGGTGTTGTTTTTCCTTTGCTATTACATTATTATTTTCTGGGGTATAAATGCATGCCTTGTTTTTATGTCTTTTAAAAGGCAACCAATGTCACACAATCCATAGGTATTTATTGTAGAGGGTTACCCAGGTGTCAATATTTTCCCGCTCAAAACCATTCATATCCCAAATTTTAAGGATCAATGTTAGTCAACATATTAATTTCGAAATTATCTTTACAATTTATATCATTATTAATTAGAAAAAGATAACACTAACTTCGAAATTATCATAGTGCTTATCAGATAAGCACTTCAAATTCTATCCAAACTGATTAGGATTTTTTAAATTGTCATTTAAAAAAAAAACTGATGATATACATTAAATCTATCTCATCCATTAATAACAAACATGTTTTGTAATCTGATTAAATGTCACACATATGACATTTAATCAGAAAATCGATCATTCTTCAAATATGACATTTAATCAGAAAATCGATCTAAAAATGAGACATTTGGTGTTTATCGATTTTTCAGGGTCGACGGGTTGTATGAAAAGCGAAGGCTGAGTAATTGAAAATTAGAGGATCGATGGTTGCTACTAATTGCTTGTAACTGGTATTGGTTTCATATCGATGGATGTGGATTCGCATATGAAATCAATTGTGTTCGCATATATGAAATCAGTTCACATATGACATCAATTGAGTTCGCATTTGGTTTTGTGGGTCAAAACAGTTCGCATAAGAAGTTCACGATTTGTTTGAGGTTAATTGATTTTGATTTCGCAAGCTTGGAGTCGGAGATCTGGATTGTGTTCGCATCTATAGAATGCGAGGAGAATTTAATGGTGATATTCAGTTCGCATTTGGTGACACAAGTACGTGGTTGATGATTTTTGGTTGGTTCGCATTTGAAATCAGTGGGTTTCGCATTTGGGTTCGTATTTGGGTTTCTCAAACAACTGAAATGCGAATATGAGACAACTGATTAATTTCTCAGTTAATGCGATGAAATGCGAATGAACTCAAAGACGGATGGATGCAAGATGCGAAGAATTTGAATGAAAATGCGAAGTTTTTAATGTATAAATGCGAATTGGGGAAGAAAGCTAAGAGTTTCGTATTTGGGGTAAATTTTTTTGAGAAATTGGAATATTTTCAAGTACGTGGTTGATGATTTTGATTTCGCAAGCTTGGAGTCGGAGATCTGGATTGTGTTCGCATCTATAGAATGCGAGGAGAATTTAATGGTGATATTCAGTTCGCATTTGGTGACACAAGTACGTGGTTGATGATTTTTGGTTGGTTCGCATTTGAAATCAGTGGGTTTCGCATTTGGGTTCGTATCTGGGTTTCTCAAACAACTGAAATGCGAATATGAGACAACTGATTAATTTCTCAGTTAATGCGATGAAATGCGAATGAACTCAAAGACGGATGGATGCAAGATGTGAAGAATTTGAATGAAAATGCGAAGTTTTTAATGTATAAATGCGAATTGGGGAAGAAAGCTAAGAGTTTCGTATTTGGGGTAAATTTTTTTGAGAAATTGGAATATTTTCAAACTTTTTTTCTTAAAAAAAACACATTGTCTTCGTCTAAGAGAGGGAGAAAAACGATTAGGGTTTATAAGGGAAATACTTCATGGCAGTGGGATTTATAGCAGGGTTTATAAGGTGGAGAGAACAAACACACGTCTGCTATGAGATATTTTAATCAGCTGCAAATGCAACATTTAAAGGATATTTGTTGAAGCGTATTAGGATGAAAAGGTTTTAAATTTTGAATGACCATGAAATTAGGATTTTGCTGAGAAATATAAGGAATCAAAACAAATTTAAAATTTAATATTATTTTATTAATGGTTGTTTGTAATATTAGCTTAATCGTTTGTACGTCTTAAAAAAATAATATTATTATATTCAATCTATTTATAGAAATAGTTAGATTTCTTTTATAAGTAGTAAAGATATATATATATATATATATATATATATATATATATATATATATATATATATATATATATATATATATATATATATATTAATTTGAAACCATGTTAATTTTGTAAAACATGAGGACGCGATCCTAACAATTCATTTTGGAGATAAAAAAATTATAAAATGCAAAATAAAAGTAAAAATCTGATTTTTTTTTTAAATATATTTTTTTATTTAATTTATCCAAAAAAATTAAAAAATTAAAAAAATAATTATCGTTTTTTTCGAAGTATGAATCAAATATTCTAATATTACACTGTAAATAATCAAATTGAATTTTTAGAATGTTAGAATTTCTAATATTTTACTAAAATTAGTGATATGTTAAAATGTTCTAATAATCTACTAGAATTATTAAATTTGTTAGAATATTCTAATATTCTATTAGAATTTTTTGAATATTTACAGTTTAATATTCTAGTAGAATATTCTAACGTTTGAAAATTTTGATTTAAATATATTTACAGTATAATATTCTATTATAATATTTCATGTATATTTTGAAAAAAAATGATAGGTTTTTTTATTTTTTCGGATAAAATAATATCAAAAAAAATTTCGAAAAATTTCATTTATTTTGCATTTTAAAATATTTTTTTGATCTCCAAAATGAATTTTTAAGATTGTGTCCCCATGTCTCACAATATATATATATATATATATATATATATATATATATATATATATATATATATATATATATATATATATATATATATATATATATATATATAGTATTTTTGCAAAAAGGAAATTATGAAGTCTATTTTCTTAAAGTGAATGATTATTGTGTAATAAATATTTAAAAATGTTTATTTCATTTTTTATTATTAAAATGACATAAGATTTTATTAAGCAAAAGTTAGTGATGCACTATAATATAAAACTTACAATTAAATAGATATATCTAGGAAAGGGGATGAACACCAAGATTTCTAATCCATACAAAATTTTCGCCTGTTTAATCTGAATGAAAGTAGACATCTTAGCTTTTTCCAAAATCACAGCTTTGTAATTAGGCAATTGTTGAACACCTTATCATTTATTGCTTTCCAAATTATCCTAATTAAATTAAAGATGATTACATCCGAGAGTTCCGACCAAGAGATGATTTGTTGGCAAAATCAAAGAAAGAAATTATCAATGGGATTGAGCTATTGACAACAACTCTGAGCCCGCACCATGAATGGACCCAGGCTCAAACTTTAGCTGTAAAATGCAAGAGGCTTAGTGATAACTAAAGAGAATAGCACAAATGGGTATAAACTAGAGGAAATATTCACACCTCGTTTTGCAAAACCTATGATACACATCATATGACAACGCATTGTAGCTTTGCCCCAAACATCAAGATTAACCTTTTGCTTGTCATCTTCAAGCCATTGTATAATTGGAGCTCTCACTATAACATCCAAGTCTCCAAGGTATAATTTTTATTTAATGTTTTGCGAATTAGAAGGCCACGACATGGTGGAAGCACCACAACGAAGTGTCAAGAACCGGATTAAACGCGACTTCAATAAATCTCCCATGACTTGGTGTTATGTTGGCAATGACGTGGGGACTGTTTTGGGCCAAAACTGTAATTTGCGAGGTTGGTGCCCAATTTAAGGGCACTAACTCCTAGGGTTGCCTCATTTGGCGGGCATCCACCCTCCGAGGAATCACCCCTTCTAAACCCTAGCCCCATTGTAAAAGATCTTGAGCTTGTGTGTCCATTTTTGGTGTTTGAATGAGAATGAGTCATTATGGAAGCATCGATCTAGCATCCAAGTCTCATCAT